CAGTGGCTGACCAGTCTCTGGGTGGCCTGGTGTCCTGGCCATGGCCTCTGCCCGCAGTCAGTCCGTGCCTGCTGGCTGGGTCCCCAGGGCTCTGCTCGGGGGGTCGGGCCTCAGGGACAGGCCTGGGGCGGGAGGGAGGCCTGGATGTGGCGCTTCTGCTGTGATGGCCCTTGGCCGTGAGAGGGCCAGGGTGGATGTCCAGGAGGACCACGGGGGGAGGCGGCCAGAGCAGGCATACAAGGGTGGCTCCCCGCCCGTGCTGCGAGGGCTGTGTGACCCCGGGTGCCTCTCTGCACCCCTCATTGCCAAGCTGGAGTGATTTCAGGCTCGGGGAGGCAGCATCAAAGCAGCCGTGTGTACAAGGGCTGACCGCAGGGCACATGCCGCCGCTCACTGACCACACGGCCCTCAGGGAGTCTCCACAGGCGGGGCGGGCAGGCAGGGCGGGGCCAGGCCCATGGCAACGGCAGAGGCCGGGAAGTGCGGGGCTTGCTGGGGTCCCCGAAACGTCACGGGGAGAGTGTGGCCCGCCGTGGCGGCCGCAGAGCCCTGGCCAGCACTATGGATGGTTCTGCGAGGCCCGAGACGGCCTTCTCAGTCCACACTTGCAGACGAGGCTCAGGGCCAAGCAGGGGCTGGGGCAGAAGCCGAGCCTGGACAGGGTCCCCCACCCTGGGCCCAGCCCCAGCCTGAGCAGTGGGCAGAGCTGTGGGAGCGGCCAGTGCCTGCGTCCCTGGTGGTCCCTGCACAGGGGACAGGGCTCCAGCCCAGTGTGCACGTGTGTGTGCGTGGCGCATGCAAGGGGCCTGGGTGGGGTCCAGTTGTTGGACACACTAACAGCAGCACCGTCGTCACACTGGCCTGTGACTGACCAATGACCTGTAACCGAGATGTCCCCGCGCGGCACCGAGCCCGACGCTCACTACCGGCTGTCAGTCGTCCCGCGGGGCAGCCCGGCCCGTTCGCTCCGTGCCCCATGCGGGCAGGCGGCCTTGGGGGCGGGTCTGGCAGAAGCGGCCCCTGCAGCCAGGCAGTGAGCAGGCGGCGGCAGCCGTGGCCCGAGGAGCACGGGGTGGCCCCAGGGGCCGGGCACTGGGACTCCCAGCTCCTAACCCCAGCTCTTGGGCCCGCCTCATGCTGCTGAAAGAGGGGTCCTGCTCTGGCCGGGCGTGGGAGGGCCCGTGGCTCAGGCTGCGCTGGCAGCTCTAGGCTGTGAAAGCGGCCTGGGGTCTCAGGGGCAGCCTTGACAGGCTGTGAGACCTGGTTTCCAGGACCGCGACCTCTCCCCTCTGGCCCTGCGTGGCCCCAGCATGACCTGGCCACCCCCTCCCTGCACGTCCTGAGAGGCCCTCCCTGACCCTGCGTGCCGTCTCTCTGGTCCGGCTGCACGGCCACCTCCTGCTGCCGCGGGGCCCTGGCACTGGCTGCTCCCCCGCCTGGAGCCCTCTCAAGACTCCGGCCCTCCCCGCCATTCCCGCGATGTCTCCATGTCGCTGCGGCCCCCCGAGCCCCAGCCCCTGACCTCCCGGCCCCCGGCCCCCCGACAAAGCAGCACTCCCACCCTCCGACCCTCCCACACGCCTGGTCTTCATCTCAGCCTCCGCCGCCTGACTGAGGGTCTTAGTCATTTCTGCCCTGCCCGAGGGCCCGTCCACGAGAGCCACCCCCGCCCGCCGGCTGTCCGTCCCAGGCCCTGGGCCAGACGCAGGACGTGGCACCGAATGAACGAGCAGTCAAGGCAGGCTCCTGGGAGACCCCGCTTTATCCCGGGGCCCCCCGAGACATCAGGGTCCAGGCCTCCCAGCCTCGGGGCCTCCCGGAAACAGCACCACTGACCGCACGGACGGAAAGGGCGGATGCTGTCGTGGGTGAGATGTTCCTGGGCCTGGATGTCTCCTTCCTCTGAACTGAGAGCTTGGCAGGCTGGTCGGGGCTCCGGAGGGCAGGGGGCCCCTCCAGCCCCAGCCAGGCTTCCTGCGCCATCCACGTTAAATCAGAGCCCCAGAAAATAAACACTCAGCCCTCCACGGAGCCAGCCGCAGCTGTGCCCGGGGCCAGGCGTGGGGGCCGGGACAGCACGGCGGGGACGCCGGCCCTGAGGAAGCCGTGGCCAGCCCCAAGGATGCCGTGGCCAGCCCACCTGAGCGGGGCCAGCAGCTGCTTGCACCAGTGCCAGGGTGGCGCGGGCACGACAGGTGGCGGCTGGGTGGGGCGCGGAGCTGGGTCCACACTAACCCGCGTGGTCTCGGCCCCCGCGCCCGTGAGCTGCGATGCCAGCGTGCAGATGCCAGCCGCGCGGCGGGAAGGAGGAAATTGGGGCCGGTGTTCCTCCACCCCCGCCGGCCCCAGAGCTCCTGACAGCCTCGGGCCAGGCTACCTTCCCGCCACCCTGGGTCCTGGGAGGGGCCTCCCGGTGGCCCTCCTGCCACTCACCCCTCACCTTCCCAGCCCGCCTGCCTGCGCCCTGGGGAGCAGGTGGAGGAGCCGTCATTACCTGCATTTTACAGGCAGGTAAATTGAGGCTCAGAAGCGGCTCTGTGGCTGTCCAAGGTCACGCGTGCCCCGAGGGCCTCTGACACCAGCCCTGTCCCGCCGGCGTCCAGCTGCTTGATGGCTGGCTGGTGGGGCCGAGCCGTCCCGGCTCCTGAAGGCCGCCCAACCTCCCAGGGCGGGGCCCCGAGTGGGCAGAGTCTTCTCCCCAGCTCGGGCTTCAGGCCGAAGTGGTGGCTCCTCTCGGGAGATGCGCCTGAGGACAGCAAGGGTGTTGGGCGGCCATGCCCGTGGGCAGCTGCCCTTTTCGGGCTGGCTGGAGACTTGGAGCCCACGACTGGCTTCTGGGGCCGGGTACTGGGTTCTGAGTAGCCTCGCCTGGGAAGATGGCGCTGGCAGAGGCCGTGGCCTGGCCAGACCGGGCTGCAGGCGGCTGGCACGGGACTGGGGACTCCTCAACATCGCCACATGCTGCACCGACCAGCCTCAGAGAGTGCGCCCCGCCTGCGGCCACAGCCAGGGTCTACGCAGGTCCCCCGCCCTCCCACCGTGGACGGGCTGGGGTGAGGGGCGCTCACATGTGGCTCAGTGCATGGCTGCAAGGGGTAGGCGCTGCCCACATGCTCCTGGGGACCCGCAGGTTCTGGACCCCAGGGATCCCAGGCCCCTGGCAAACGTGGGCCATGCTCCCAGGGCTGCCCGCGGGCCCCAGGCTGGGGCTCAGCTGAGTGGCTCCCTGCCCCCTGGGCGGAGGCCGGACCTTCTGCAGAGGGCCCAGAGGACCAGCCCTCCCACCTCCAGCGGTTGCGCCTGGGCCTGGGCCTGGGGACAAACGCTCACCAGTGCCGGGAGCTCTTTGGGGGGCCAGGTCCCCCCCCAGCCCAGGAGTGCGTCCTAGGCCCTCAGGGCCGTGAGGGAAGACAGCACCCGGCCCCTCTGCAGACCAGAGGCTGAGGCCAGAGCTCGGGGCGGGGGCTGGGACCGGCCTGTGGACCCTGAGGCCGCAGCTTCTGCCTGGCCCTTCGGGGAGGCCCGGCCTGCCTGCTATGGGGGCGAGCCCTCTCTGGGGTGGGGACCTAGTCCCCAGCTTCAGAGGAAGGGCGGCCGCAGGGTCTCCCTCTGTCGCGGCTCCGAGCGCGGGCTTCGGCCCGGCCGATGGTGCTGAGTGGCCGCCTGGGGTCCTGCCCTGGGTCCCTGCAGCTGGTGGGAGCCCGGGAGGCAGGACAGTGGGCAGGGGAGGGCACAGGCCAGGAGGGCCACGGAGCCGACCACTGACAGCGAAGGGCCGGCCAGAGAGCCCTGCGCGAGGGGAGAGCGGACGGCTCCGGCAGCGGGGCCTGGGGAGCAGGGGCCTAGGAGCCTGGGGCTGGGGCTGGAGGCTAATCCTGGGCGCGGGCAGCAGGGAAGCAGATAACCTGATCTATGTTTTCACAAGATGTTTCAAAGATGTCTGAGGCGTGGTGGGCCCTGGGGCCCTGCGCCCCCACCCAAGGGCGCCCTCTCTGTACCTTGGCCCCCTCTGGGGAGAACCCCCTCCCTGCACTCGTCTCTGCAGCTCCGAGGCTGTGCAGCTGCCGAGCGGGATCGTGTCAGGGCCTGCCCGGCGCGGCTGACCTGGGAACAGGAACCTTCCGCGGGGCAGGCAGAGGAGGGCGGCCGGGCGCGGGCGCGGGCGTGGGCGCGGACCCGGGAGAGGACGTGCCTCCAGAGCCGCCAGGGCCGGGTCCCCTTCGGCTGGGCAGGACGGGGTGAGCACGGCCTGGGCCCGGCTGCAGGGGTGAGCGGGGCGGGCAGGAAGCCGGGCAGGAGACGCCATGCCTGCCGCCGGCTGCGGGACCCCCGTGTGCAGGAGCCTCCTCCCTGCCCCTCCCCTCGGGGGCCTGGGCTCGGCTCGGGGGGGACCCCAGGGGGGGGGGGAGGGGCAGCGGGAGCGCGGACACAGGATGGGGCAGCTTGGGGTTCTCTGCTGCCAGGGACTTTCCGAGCCGAGGGAGCCCAGGGGGGGGGCATCCCCCCTCGTGCGGGCGTCCTGGGCGGGTGGTCTTAAGGGGCCGGCAGAGCCCCCTCCCCGGCTCTCGGAAGCCGCACAAGCCCCCTCCCTGCCCTGGCAGCGAACCTCGGCCTCGCCTTTGAAGACGGCCGGGAGAACCGGTCGGCCTGCCCGCTCCAGGAATGCTGGCACCGCTGGCCGCTGGCAGCTGGTCCCGCAGGCGGGCGGCACGGCCCAGCCCGAGGCGTCCGCAGCCCAGCTGCCCCCGCCCCACCCCACCCACGCTGGGCCCCTGCACAGCTCCATTTTGACCCGAGAAGAGCCGGTGGGCAGGTTGGGGGAGAGAGGTGGACAGCCCCAGGTCTCAGGGTGGTCGCCCCCATTCCCAGCAGCCCAACAAGCTCCGGCCAGGGCTCCCCGGCCCCTCCACGCACTGTGGGGCACCCCCCTCGCACACTGGCCAGCCCCCACTTGAGGCAGCCTGCTCCTCATTCTCTCCCCCCCCAGGGCTCTGGAGCTCCCCATCATGGTTGTCGCCTTCCTGGGCTTTGCCGTGCTCTGCCTCCACGCCGCCGCCTGCGAGCAGCCCCTGGAAGGGCCGGGCCCCCCCTTGGCCTGGGGCTTCACGCACCCCGTCTACAATGCCACCATCTACGAGAACTCGGCCCCCAGGACCTACGTGCAGAGCCTGGCGAGGATGGGCGTGCGCCTGGGGGCGGCCGGCTGGGCCGTGCGCTTCCGCATCGTGGCGGGGGACGCGGCCGGCGTGTTCAAGGCGGAGGAGCAGGTGCTGGGCGACTTCTGCCTCCTGCGCATCCGGACCCGGAGCAGCAGCGCGGCCCTGCTGAACCGGGAGGTGCAGGACAGCTACGACCTGGTGGTGCAGGCCACGGAGGGCACCCAGCCGCAGGACGCCCTGGCCCGGGTGCGGGTCCGCGTGCTGGACCAGAACGACCTGAAGCCGCTCTTCTCCCCGCCCTCGTACCGGGTCACCATCTCCGAGGACACGCCGCCCCGGACGCCCATCTGCAGGGTGACGGCCACCGACGCTGACCTAGGCCAGAACGCCGCCTTCTACTACGCCTGGCGCGCCCGGCCCGAGGCCTTCGCCCTGCACCCCACCAGCGGCGTGGTCACCGTGGCCAGGAGGCTCAACGCCACGTGGCGGGGCAGGCATGAGCTGCAGGTGCTGGCTGTGGACCGCACGAGGAAGCCCTCTGAGGGCGCCAGGGCAGGCAGCCTGGCCCCGCTGCTCATCCATGTGGAGCCGGCCCCCCGGCGGCCACCGGCCATTGTCTCGGTGCGGGTGGCCCCGCTGGGTGGCAGCGAGGAGGCCACTTACGCCACCGTCATGGTAGACGTCAACGGCTCGGGCGCCCACGTGGACGCCCTGGACATCGTGGACGGGGACCCCGGGCGGCTCTTCAGGGCCGTCAGGTCCTCCTACACCCGGCGCGGTGAGTTCCGGCTGGTGGCCACCAGGGACATCGACTGGCTGGAGCACCCGCACGGGTTCAACCTCAGCCTCCAGGCCCGCGGCGGCGGCCAGCCCCCCTCCCAGGTCAGGGCCTTTCACCTGCCCCCCTGGACGCTGGCGCCCCTCACCTTCGAGCAGGCGGCGTATCAGGTGCGGCTGAGCGAGTGCTCCCCGCCCGGCAGCCGCGTGGCCTTGGTGAGGGTCAGCCACGCGCCCCCCGGCCTGCGCTACCTGCTGCAGCCCAGCCCCGAGAGCGCGGGCTTCAGACTTGACGCCGACACTGGGCTGGTGTCCACCACCAAGCGCCTGGACATCCGGGCCCACGCCCAGCACCAGCTCCTCATCAGAACCGACCCGGGTCTGGCCACCGCCACAGTGGCCGTGGACCTGGTGGACTGCAACGACCACGCCCCCGTCTTCAGCAGGCCTTCCTACGAGGCCGCCTTCGACGAGAACGTCCCTCCCGGCACCAGCGTCTTGACGGTGGCCGCCACGGACCTGGACCTCGGGGACAACGGCCACATCAGCTTTGCCATCGCTGGCCCCAGGCCTGTGCCCTTTTCCATCGACCCTGACCTGGGGGTCATCGCCACCTCCGCGCCCATGGACTACGAGCTCATGCAGAGAATCTACACCTTCCGCGTCCGGGCGTCCGACTGGGGGTCCCCGTTTCGCCAGGAAAAGGAGGTGTCTGTCTCACTGAGGCTCAGGAACCTGAATGACAACAGCCCCATGTTTGAGGCCGTTAACTGCACGGGGTCCATCCACCAGGACTGGCCGGTGGGGAAGCCACTGGCCACCCTGTCGGCCATAGACGTGGACGAGCTGCAGAACCTGAGGTACGAGCTTGTGGGGGGCAACGAGCTGGGGCTCTTCGACCTCCACCCGCTCTCCGGGGTGGTCTCCCTCAAACGCCCGCTTCCGCATCAGGCGTCTCGGCGACCCGCCAACTACTCCCTGAGGGTGACGGCCTGGGACGGGGTGCACCGGGCCCCGCCCACCCTGCTGAGCGTGGCTGTGGTGCAGGACGCCGGGCAGGAGGAGCCCGTGACCTGCCAGCAGACAGGCGCACTGGCGCTCTTCACCAGGGCCGTCCTCCACGCGGTGGGGCTTGGGGGCCCGCAGCCGGATGACCAGGAGGACATCCCGCCCTTGAGCGCCTACCAGGTCAACCGCCACACCCCCCAGTTTGCGGACCGCTCCCCGCTGTCCATCGACGTCCTGGAGCGCGCCCCCCTGCACACGTCCCTGGCCCGCCTGGCGGCCTCCGACCCCGACGCGGGCGCCAGCGGCCACCTGGTCTACGTGATCGCGGACGGCAACGAAGAAGGCCGCTTCGACATCGGGCTGGAGTCAGGGCTGCTGACGGTGGCGGCCCCTCTGGACTACGAGGTCACCCGCTCCTACGTGCTCAACGTGACCGCGTCCGACCTGGGCACGCCCCAGAAGGCCTGCTGGAGGCTGCTGACCGTGAACGTGAGAGACTGGAACGACAACGCCCCCAGGTTCCCGCCCGGCGGCTACCAGCTGACCATCCCGGAGGACACGGGGGTGGGAGCCACTGTCGCGGAGCTGAAAGCCAGAGACGCAGACTCCGAGGGCAACGGGCGGGTGCGCTACAGCCTGCTCAGCCCCACCGAGACGTTCTCCCTCCACCCCCTCACCGGGGAGCTGGTGGTCAGCGGGCGCCTGGACCGGGAGTCGGAGCCGCAGCACGTGCTCCAGGTGGAGGCCCGGGACCAGCCGCAGGACGGCCCCCAGCTCTTCGCCATTGCCGACCTGACGGTCACGCTGGAGGACGCTAACGACAACTCCCCCCAGTGCATCCCAGAGCTCAGCCGCCTCAAGGCCCCCGAGGACCTGCCGCCGGGGACGGTCCTGACCTTTCTGGACGCCGCAGACCCCGACCTGGGGGCAGCGGGAGACGTGCGCTTCACACTGCTGGATGACGCCCACGGAACCTTCCGCGTGGAGCCGGCCACCGGCGCGCTGAGCCTGGAGCGGGAGCTGGACTTCGAGAGGCGCGCCGCGTACAACCTCAGCCTCTGGGCCAGCGACGGCGGGTGGCCGCTGCCCCGCAGGACGCTCTGCCACGTGGAGGTGACGGTCCTGGACGTGAACGAGAACCTCCACCCGCCCCGCTTCAGCGCCTTCGTGCACCAGGGCCAGGTGCAGGAGAACAGCCCGGCGGGGACCCCGGTGCTGGCCGTGCCGGCCCAGGACGAGGACAGCGGCGTGGACGGGGAGGTGCGGTACTGGCTGCGCGCCGGCTCCGGCCTCACGGCCTTTGGCATCGACCAGGACACAGGTAGGGGCCGTGATGCCGGGGGAAGGCCGGGAAGGCGGGTCGCCCCTCAGGTGCGGGCTGCAGCCACAGAGGCGGAGACAGGCAGCGTCCGGCCTGCTGTGGCAGCACGAGCTCGCCCCGTGCGGGCGGAGAAGTGTGCGCGGAGAGCGGGGCCGGCCGCCACCCCACCCGTGTGCACACGCACGGCGGCCCGACACGGCTGTCAAGGTGACGCCCCCCACGGCGCCCACACGGGCCGGAGCCTCCGCTGCGCCCCCTCCCCAGAGACGCCGCCGAGCCTGGCCGCCGTCCACTCCCTTCCCCTTTGCACCTCGCGTGCCGTCGCTGCCCGTTCTGCTGCCTCCAGAGCAGAGAGCAGGAGACGTTCATTCCGAAGCCTGCCTGTGCGAGGGACGGAGCCCCGGCCGCTCCCTCACGCCAGCGGGCAGCGAGTGTCTGGGCCGCAGAGGGACGGGGACCTGCGGTGCCAGCCTGCCCTCCCGACTGGCTCCTCCTCTTCTGCGGCATAAAAAAGCTCAGACGGGCAGATGTGACTGACCGGCACCCCTGGTGTTGGGCCCTGCGATGGGGGTTGAGAACCGCCCGGCCGGCGGCTCCAGGCTCAGGGCAGGCTGGTGTGGAGGCCCCCGAAGGACACGGGCCGGCCCCGCCCTAACGCTCTGGCTGTGCGGCGTCCCCAGGCATGATCCACACCCTGGCCGCGCTGGACCGAGAAGCGGCGTCCTGCTACTGGCTGACCGTGCTGGCGGTGGACAGGGGCTCCCAGCCCCTCTCGGCGGTCACCGAGGTCTACATCGAGGTCACGGACGTCAACGACAGCCCGCCCCGCATGTCCAGGCCCGTGTTCTACCCCTGTGTGCCAGAGGACGCCCCCCCGCACACCTCGGTGCTCCAGCTGGACGCCGAGGACGCCGACCCCAGCTCCCAGGGGAAGCTGACCTTCAACATCACCGGCGGGAACCAGCAGGGGCTCTTTGCTCTCCACCCGCTCACAGGTAAGGCCGGAGCAGGGCGTCGCCACCCGCCGCCTCTCAGAGTGGACAGCATGGCCAGCGCCCCTGGACCGCACAGAACCTGTGTCGGGCTCAACCGGGCCTGCAGCATCAGAACGGGGTGGGGGACATGCAGGGACCACAGCCTGCACTTGAACAAGGCGCGGGGTCCGAAGGGCCGGTGCGGTGCTGCCTGTTACAAAGTCTAACGGGGAAAGAGGAACCCGTGGGGTCCCGGGGGGCACAGGCCAAGTCAGGGCGGGCGGGAGGCCAGGCTGTCGATGTCCGGCCGCTCCCAGGCCTGGCTCCAACCGCGGGAGCTTCAGATAGAACAACGAGTCGCACGGCCGGCCCCACCGCCCCTCAGGCCTCCCCTGCCTCTTCCCCTGCGCCTGACTGCGCCCCGGGGCTGCCCACTGACCGCCCTCTCGGCTTCCCTCGCCTGCAGCCCGGCACGGGGCCTTTGCACACACACTGGCCCCACCTGAGTCTCCTCCCTGCCGGGGGAGCCTCCGCTGTGGAACCCCGGCCGGCACCCCCACAGAGCTCCTGCTGTGTCACATCCTCCCCCGGCCCCCCCCCCCCCCCGTCTCAAGGCTGTCCCGGGACGTCTATTTGTGACCATCCTGCCCTTCACTAGACCCCACCAGCTGTCCAGGAAGCATCCTGGTGCGTTTCCTTTCTCCAGCGCCTGGCGCACAGTAGGGCCTCGCGAGCCGGGAAAAATGCGCGATGCACCGTGGCGTCCCGCACCCCCGGTCTCCGCCGAGCCCAGATGCGGCTGAGGCAGCGACGTCCGCCTTGCGAGGCCCTTAGCTCTGCACCGGGCAGTGCGATGAGCTGCCCCAGGGCTTCCGCTCAGGCTCCGATGCCCCAGCGCCCAGGAGAAGCCCTCAGGGAGCAGACGTCCCCTTCCCCGCCACGGGGTGGCCCTGGGCGCCCTGCTCACTCCGAGCTCCCGGCTCCCCCAGGTCTGCTGACCACGGCCCGGCGGCTGGACCGCGAGGTGAAGGACGAGCACATCCTGGAGGTGAGTGGCGCCGGGGCCAGGTGGGCCGTTTCTGGGGCGTCCGGGCGGGGGCGCCCGAGTCACGCCCGTCTGCTCGCAGGTGGCCGTGCTGGACCACGGGGAGCCCCCGCTGCGGTCGGTGTCCCGCGTGGTGGTGTGCGTCCTGGACGTCAACGACAACGCCCCGGCCTTCCCCCACAAGCTGTTCAGCGTGCGCCTCCCCGAGGGCGCGCCGGGGCCCGTGTACCGGCTGGTGGCCGCGGACGCCGACGCGGGCCTCAACGGCGCAGTGACCTACAGCATCGAGGAGGGCGGCGAGGGGGCCTTTGGCATTGACCCGGCCACGGGCCTGGTGTCGGCCACGGGCACCTTCAGGGCCGGCGAGTACAACATCCTCACGGTGCGGGCGCCGCGGGGGTCTGTGGGGACGGGAGGTGGTGGGGAGGGGGGAGGGCAGCGCCCACCAGGCTCGAGCGCCTCCCCCACTTGTACCCAGGAAGCCGGAAGCCCAACTCTGGCCAGAGGGTCAGAACTCTGGGCCTTTCTTGGGGGGCCCGGGGGTCTCCCCAGACGGCAGTCTGTGTCAGACGCGGATTTTGGCGGGGGAGGCTGCTCCGAATCAGGCTCAGCCTGGCGTCCTGCCCCCGTGTGGCCCTGACAGGCCCTCCCGCGCCGGGCCCTGGCCGTATGGGCTGTGGGGCGGGTAGGACTGTTCTCCTGCGGGAGGGGCCCGGGGCCAGCAGTCAGGGCGGCAGACAGGGACGGCCAGTGCCTCCCATGCAGGCCAGCCCGGGCTTCCATTAGGGGACAGCGGGCCCTGCCAGGCCAGACCCCACAAGAGGGAGGCCCTGAGAGACCCACGGTGCTCGGCTGGCGGGACCAGCGTGGGCTGGTGACCCTTGGCCTCAGGGTGCGCCGACCCTCACCTGGCCGCTCCGGCCCAGCAGCTTCCGCTCCACCTCTCTTCAGATCAAGGCCACAGACGGTGGGCAGCCCGCGCTCTCGGCCAGCGTCCGGCTGCACGTGGAGTGGGCGCCCCGGCCCCAGCCCTCCTCTGTCCCGCTGGCCTTCGACGAGCCCCACTACAGCTTCACGGTCATGGAGACGGACCCCGTGACCCACATGGTGGGGGTCCTCGGCGTCGAGGGCCGCCCCGGCCTCTGCTGGTTCAGCATCACAGGTGGGGGCCTGGCCCGTGACCCGCCCAGCTCCCACAACCTCGCCCTCGGGGCTCCCCCTGCCACCCCCGGGCGCTGGGGCCGAGGCCAGCACCTTCCGCGCTGGGGACCCGCCAGGGCCAGTCGGTGCCTTGGTTTCCCAAGCGCCTGGGAGGTGGTGGGGGAGGAAGCCCCATCTGCCCTTCCCCTTCCGCCGGGTGTGACACGCAGCGCGGAGCTGGCCACGCTGTCCCTAAAGCCCGGGCCGCTACTCCCGCACGGGCGTCCTGGCCGCTGCGCTCCTGGGAGGCGTGTTCCTGACAGCAGCTAGGGCCGGCCCCTGGGCCTCTGATGGCCCCGAGCAAGCTGCTGCTCGTCCATGTGCATGCACGCACACACGTACCTGCACACACACGCGTGTGTCTGCACATAGTACTGTGCACACATACAGCACACACACGTGTCTGCACAAGGTACTGCATGCACACGTGTCTGCACACACCTGCTAGCGCACACATGTACCAGCTCGCGCATGCACAGCGGGCCTCCAGGCCGAGTCTGCTCCGGGCCGCCCTGCCCAGCTCGGGGACAGAAGCGCCCGCCAGCTGCGACCTCTGGCGCCCTTGCAGCCCCGGTTCTCCACCCTGTGAACCTGCCGGGCCGGTCCTCCTGCTGCGAAGTGGGTGCCCGGTGCCCTCAGAACATCTGGAGACACAAACTCCTGGCGCCGGGGCGGCCGCTGTCCCCACCTCCCCTTGCTGCTCCCCACCCCTCAGGCTGCCCGCCGGTGTTGCCCAGCTCGCCCTTGGGGCTGCCGCTCAGCCCGCTTTGGGATCTCACAGCTTCCAACAGGGATCACCCTTCCCTGGGGGTTCCTGTAGCCACCCACCCCTGCCCAGCGCTCGGCTCACCGTGACCTGGACACCCACCCGCCAGGACGAGCCTGGCCTGTGCCCACCCCACACGCCCTAACGGCCCCGGAGCCACCCCCGGCTCTTCCCCAAAAGACAGTCCCTGCACCCCCACCCGCTGACGGCCAGGCCCCCGGGCCTGCCCCCTGACCACCGGTGCCCCCAGGTGGGGACCACGACATGGACTTTGACGTCGAGAAGACCACGGGCAGCATCCTCATTGCCAGGCCGCTCGACGCCAGGAGGCGGTCCAGCTACAACCTGACCGTGGAGGTGACGGACGGGTCCCAGGCCATCGCCACCCAGGTCAGGGCCAGGGGACCCCGCGTGGGGAGGGGGGGAGGCGGCCCGGTGGGGCGAGGCCTCGGAGAACGCCGGTGTGGCGCGGAGCTGAGACCCGTCTCCCTGGGGCCTCTCTGCTTCTGGGGCCGCGGGGCCGTCCCCTGCGGGGCTGCAGCAGGGGCTGGTCTGGAGTCCAGCCGAGGTGGCCCCAGGCTGCCTGGGGAGGGCGGCGGGGGGCACCCTGAGGGGCCCGGTTTCAGGCAGAATCTCGTGGGGGCTCAACGCAGAGTTCTGTGGACAAACCTTTGGCGCGGAGCCCGGCAGACGCGGCCCTGCCTGAGAGCCTCGTCTGAGCCCCTCGAGCTTGTGAAGCCACCAGCCCCCGAGCGTGGCTGCCCGACGGGGTGGGGCACAGACTCACGAGCCCCCCCCCACCCGCCCCCCAGGTCCACGTCACCATGATCGCCAACGTGAACCGCCACCGCCCCCAGTTCCTGAAGGCCCACTACGAGGTCAGTGTCCCCCAGGACACGCCGCCCGGCGTGGAGCTCCTGCAGGTCCAGGCCACCGACCCGGACCAAGGCAGGGGCCTCGTCTACACCATCCAGGGCAGCCAGGACCCAGGCAGCACCAGCCTCTTCCAGCTGGATCCGGGCAGCGGCGTGCTGGTCACTGTGGGCAAGCTGGACCTGGGCCCAGGGCCCTCCCAGCACACGCTAACAGTGATGGTGAGTGAGGGACACGGCTGGGCGGGGGCACGCGGCTGAGCTCCGGGGCCCCTGAAGAGCCGGGACCCACCCTGGCTGGCTGTTCCGCCCTGTAGAGGTGGCCCCAGGTGCCTGGCGCGAGGCAGGGGCTGCAATCCTAGACGCCCCCCAAACACCACCTCCGGGCTCTCCTGCTCCGTCTCCACGTGTCAGAGACGCCCCACCCCGGGCCAGCGCGGGGGCCCCCCGAGGGGATGCAGGGCACAGCACATGTCCTGGCTGAGCTGCCCCCCACCCCTCGGGTCCTGTGTCCTCCCACCTCAGGCCCCACGATAGCTCCGCCCCGCTGGGGTCCCCGCACCACCAGGGTCTCCTGTGGGACGGGTGCGGGGTGCGGGGCTCTGAGGGCACGTGTCCTCTTGGGCCCAGGAAGGCGCGGGCCCCACACCACTGACCCGACCTCGTCTCCTGGCCAGGCCCAGCCCAGCACAGCGCCTCAGCCCGCGAGTGCGCATCGCTGCGGCGGGCTTGGGAACGCCGCCCTGAGGCTTGTGCCCGCCTGTCCCTGAAAGCGGAACTAGCCGCTCGTACAGCGCAGCCTAACGGGCACGGAGGGGCGAGCCTATTAAAAGGGCAAAGGAGCGTGGAGGGTCTCGTCAGGCCCAGGCGGGAGCACATTTGGCCACGAGCCCCGTCCGCCCCCAGCCCCGCTCGGCGGCCCCACCCGAGGCCAGGAGTGACCGCGGGTTCCTGCCGGCCAGCCCTGGCACAGGCCCCTGCGGGGGTCCCTGCTGCGGCGCTATCACGCATGGGCGACGCCCGCCAGGCTGCGCTGACCCTGCCCCCACTGTGCCCGGCCACAGGTCCGAGACCAGGAGATGCCCCCCAAGAGGAACTTCGTGTGGGTGACCGTCCTCGTGGGGCCCGCCAACTACCACCCGCCCCGCTTCACCCAGCCGCGCTACGTGGCCAGCGCCCCGGCTGACGCGGCCCCCGGCACCGAGCTGCTGCAGGTCCGCGCCGCGGACGGGGACCAGGGAGCTGGCGGCGAGGTCCACTACACCCTCCTCAAAGGTGAGGCCCGGCCTGAGTGCGGCAGGGCGAGCGCGTGTGGGAAACCGCTGGGGCCCGAGGGTTCAGGGGCCCGGCTCTCAGAGCAGGCAGATGATCCGTCTAGAACGTTCCGCCTGGCAGGTCCACGCACCGCTATCGCCTGGGCCGGGGAGGCATGTTCACGCAGCGGGGTTGAAGTCCCAGCGGGGGCTGACCGCCGGGGGCCAGCTGGGGCCCCACCTGCCGCGTCCCCCCTGTGTCTCAGGACCACGAGGGGCTCTGTGGGGCAGAAGCCCTTCCTGCAAGGGCGCTGACCGCAGGGCAAGGGGCATGTCCCCTTGGGGCCTCAGAGGCTGATGCCGGGACTGGAGGCCTAGCTGGGAACAGCCCGTGCAGGGTTCTGCCAACCAGCTCCGGGGGCCAGGTGGGTGCAGTGGTTACCTCTGGGGTGCGGTGACTGTTGTCCATCTTGTCTTTGCTCCAGGGAACAGCGACGGTCTCTTTGACTTTGATGCCCTCCTGGGCACGGTCACCCTGGCCCGGAAGCCCGAGCAGGGCCAGTACACGCTGACGGTGAGGGCAGAAGATGGGGGCTCCCCGCCGAAGCATGACCTGGCCACCGTGGTCATTGACGTCCACCCCTCGGACAGCAGCGCCCCCACCTTCTCGGAAGCCGAGTACTTTGTGGAGATCCCGGAGTCCATCCCGCCGGGCTCCCCGATCCTGCGTGTCACGGCCGCCAGCCCCTCTGGGGTCACCTACGAGCTGAGGGAGGGCAACAAGGACGGCGTCTTCTCCATGAACACGTACTCCGGCCTCATCTGCACCCGCGGGGTGCTGGACCACGAGGCGGTCTCGTCCTACCAGCTGAAAATCCGCGGCAGCAGCCTGGCGGGCGCGTCGGCGGACGTCTCGGTCCTGGTGTCCATCCTGGACGAGAACGACCACGCGCCCGAGTTCCTGCAGCCGGCCTTCGTGGGCCGCGTCAGCGAGGCGGTGCCCGCGGGCAGCCTGGTGGCCGGCGAGGGCGGCCATGGCCCGCTGGTGCTCCGCGCACGGGACGGGGACCGCGACGCCAACGCCCTGCTGGCCTACCGCATCCTGGAGCCTGAGGCCGCCAGGGCCTTCCGGGTGGACCCCAGCATGGGCACCCTGAGCAGCGTGGGCGCGCTGGACCACGAGACCACGCCCTCCTTCCGGTTCAGGGTCCATGTGCAGGACCAGGGCCGCCCTGCGCTGCTGGCACCCGCACCCGCCTGGGTGTTGGTGCAGGTTGCGGACGTGAATGATGCCCCGCCCCGGTTCGCACAGCGGCTGTACAAGGCGGCGGTGCTGGGGCCCGCGCACCCGGGCATGGAGCTGCTGACCGTGCAGGCCCGCGACCCCGACTCGGAGGTCACCTACAGCGTGCGGGCTGGCAACGCTGACGGGGCGCTGGCCGTGCACCCCCGCACGGGGCGCGTGTCCGTGCTGTGGCCCGCCCTCCTGGGCCGCGGCCGCGAGCTGACCCTCGAGGCCTCAGACGGCCCGCACCAGGACAGCGCCCTGCTGAGGGTGACCGTCACGCCCGCCCCAAACTCCAGCCTGCGCTTCGACCGCAGCGTCTACCGGGCGGCGGTGCAGGAGGACGCGCGGACCGTGGGGACCCTGGCGACGCTGGGCGTGTGGGGCCGCCTTCCCAACGACACCCTGGCCTTCGCGCTGCTCAACGGCACGGACCTGTTCCGGATGGTGCCGACGGCGGGTGTGCTGCAGACGCGCGGCCTGGCCCTCGACCGGGAGCAGCAGGACACGCACGTGCTGGCCGTGGAGGTCAGGGACGACCGCTCGCCCCCGCGGGTGGCCCGGGCACTGGTGTGCGTGTCCGTGCAGGACGCCAACGACCACTGCCCCGAGTTCCAGCACCTGCCCTACGCTGCCGCGGTCCCCGACGGCACGGAGCCGGGCGACGTGCTGCTGCAGGTGTCTGCCACCGACCGGGACACGGGGCCCAACGGCGTGGTCACCTACGCTTTCGTGGAGGACCACCCCTACTTCCGGCTGGACCCCTACCTTGGGGACATCTCTCTCCGGAAGCCCCTGGACGAGCAGGCGCCCAATGAGTACCGGCTGCGGGTGCTGGCGCGGGATGGGGGCACCCCCGCCCTGCAGGCCACGGCAGAGGTGCTGCTGGTCGTGCGCAACGGCTCGCGCCCGCTGTTCCAGAGCCCGGCCTACCGCGTGCGCGTGCCCGAGGACGCGCCGCCCCGCACCCCGGTGCTCCACGCGCAGGCCCGCAGCCCCGAGGGCCACCGGCTCATCTACAACTTGGCGGAGACCACGACCCCGGCCGGCATCGCCGTGGACTTCCGGACCGGCGTGCTGACCGTCGCAGGCCCGCTGGACTACGAGTCGGAGCCCAGGCACATGCTCACGGTGAGGGCCACGGACACGGCGCTGGGCGCGTTCTCGGAGGCCGTGGTGGAGGTGCAGCTGGCGGACGTGAACGACAACGCGCCCACCTTCCCCCAGCGTGTCCATGCCGCGGCCGTGCCCGAGGGCCTGCCCGCCCACACGCCGGTCATCCGGCTGCTGGCCTCGGACCGTGACTCGGGGAGGAACCGCGACGTGTCCTACCAGATCGTGGAGGATGGCTCCGACGCGTCCAGTTTCTTCCACATCGACAGGGACACTGGGGAGATGTCCACCGTTCAGGAGCTGGACTATGAGACCCGGCAGCACTTCGACGTGAAGGTCAGGGCAGTGGACGGCGGTGACCCCCCGCTCACTGGGGAGACCCTGGTGGAGGTCAGCGTGTCCGACGTCAACGACAACCCCCCCGTGTTCAGGCAAGCGCAGTACGAGGCCAGCGTCAGCGAGCTGGCCACCTGCGGCCACCTGGTCCTCAAGGTCCAGGCTCTGGACCCCGACAGCGGGGACGCCGCCCGCCTGGAGTACCTGATCCTGTCCGGCAACCGGGACCGGCACTTCTCCATCAACAGCTCGTCGGGAATCATCTCCATGGTCAGCCCCTGCCACAAGCCTCTGGACGCCTCCTACAGCCTGAGGGTGGGCGCCTCGGACGGGGTCTTCCGGGCCTCGGTGCCCGTGTACATCAACACCACGCACGCCAACAGGCACAGCCCGGAGTTCCCGCAGCGCGTGTACGAGGCCGAGCTGGCGGAGAACGCAGCCGTGGGCACCCAGGTGATCGAGCTGCTGGCCACGGACAGGGACAGCGGCCCCTTCGGCGCTGTCCACTACACCATCATCAACAAGCTCGCCGGCGAGAAGTTCACCATCAGCCCCGGGGGCCGGGTGGCCACGCGGCACAAGCTGGACCGGGAGAACGCCACGGAGAGGGTCATCGCCATCAAGGTCATGGCCCGGGACGGGGGCGGCCGGGCGGGCTTCTGCACCGTGAACATCATCCTCACCGACGAGAACGACAACCGGCCCCAGTTCCGGGCGGCCGAGTACACCGTGTCGGTGCCCGCCGACGCGGGCAGGGGCTTCCCGGTCATCCAGGTGCTGGCCCACGACGCCGACGAGGGCCGCAACGCCGACGTCACCTACTCGGTGGACTCCGCGGGTGGCCCGGACCCGGAGGTCGTGGGGGTCAGCCCGACCACGGGGGTGGTCCGGGTGAAGGAGAGCCTGGCGGGGCTGGAGCACCGGGCCCTGGACCTGAAGATCAAGGCGCAGGACGGGGGCCCCCCGCACTGGGACTCGCTGCTGCGGCTGCGGCTGCAGGTCGTGCCCCGGGAGGCGCCCCTGCCCAGGTTCTCGGAGCCCCTGTACACCTTCTCCGCCCCCGAGGACCTGCCCGAGGGCGCCGAGCTCGGCTCCGTGCGGGCGCTGGCCGCCCCCGACCCGGCCGCCCCTGACCCGGTCATCTACAGCCTGGTGCCGGGCACCACGCCCGAGAGCAACCGGGACGGCATCTTCTCCTTGGACCGGAGCTCGGGGCTCCTGAAGGTGAAGAAGGCCTTGGACTACGAGTCCACCAAGTGGTACCAGATGGACCTGATGGCCCTCCGGCCCCACAACGGCACCTACTTGGCCTCCCTGGTCTCCGTCAGCATCCAGGTGAGGGACGTCAACGACAACAGGCCGGCGTTTGAGGCCGACCCCTACAGGGCCATCCTCGCGGAGAACATGCCCGTGGGCACCTCGGTCATCCAAGTGACCGCCAACGACCAGGACACCGGCGATGACGGCCGGGTGGGCTACAGGCTGCCCGCTGGCCCTGGCAGCGACGCCGACGGGCTCTTTGCCATCGACGCAGAGACAGGCTGGATCACCACCCTCCGCGAGCTGGACTGCGAGGCCCGCCGGACCTACCGCTTCTACGTGGTGGCCCACGACCACGGCCAGGCTGTCCAGCTGTCCTCCCAGGTCCTGGTGGAGGTCACCGTGACGGACGAGAATGACAACCCCCCGCGGTTCACCTCCGAAGACCACCGGGGGTCTGTGGTGGAGAACGGCGACCCCGGGGAGCCCGTGGCCAGTCTGCGGACCCTGGACGCCGACGTCGCTGAGCAGAACCGGCAGGTCACCTGCTACATCACAGGTGAACGGCCGCTGTGGGGCGGAGCCGGAGGGCGCGAGGCCAGGAGAGGGCCTGGGGCTGGCCCTGGCTCCGCCACTCCCCGGGAGTGTGACCTGGGCGCGGCCCTCAGAGCCAGACCCTGCTGGCCCGGGGGGAGCCGCCGGCCTCCTCCCTCCCCTCGCAGGGCAGGCGGCTCTCGCTGGGGCCGAAGCCCTGGCAGCCCCGGTAAACCGGGAGGTGCTTGGCCATGAGGGTCTCCAGTTACTCTAGGTAACGGGGGTCACGCTGAGCGCGCGGGTGGGCTGGCAGAGACACTGTCCGCTCACGGTCAGCTCAGACGAGGACGCCCCAACCTCTGTCCAGAGATGGCCTGCTGCGGGCGTGGGCAGATGGTGGCCTCCGTGGGCCTCATGCCGCATGGGGCCCCGGGCAGATGGGACCCCCAAGCCGATCCCCCCTGAACACGGGAGAGCAGGCGGGCGGGGCATGCCTGGCCCTCTCAGGCGGGCAGAGCCACACCTGGCCACTGCGTTCCTCAGTGGACTGCAAGCCGGCCATGGCCACCCTGCCCAGCGGCCAAACCACCACCAGTGGCCGAGAGGATCTGTGCTGGCCGGGCCCCTTCCCGGTCCCTCCTCCAGTGGAGGGTGGGCAGCAGGAGCTTCCGCCGCCTTCGAGGCCCTGTAAGCAGGTCCCGTCAGGGCTGGAGCAGGGCAGAGGCCTCGGGCCGGTGGCCCCCGCAGCGTCAGCAAGCACAGCTCTCGTGGTGGCTGCGTCGGGCTCCACTCTCTGAGGGTGCCTCCCGCCACGTCTGGCGTCTAGGCGTCCAGCATGGGCAGCTGGTGCCCCTGAGGCTGTCCTCCCTGCGACCCCTCAGCATGCGAGTGGCCCTTGCTGCAGAGCAGACCCTGGACACCAGGCGGTGCAGCTGGGGACTGTCGGTGCCCCTCGCTCCCCCTCACCCTGCCTGACGCTGGCTGGAGCTCCTCACAGGGCGGCGCCCTGGACAGGGGCCCTCGAAGCCAGGGCAGAAGTCCCGGCCACGCGGGGGCTGGGTCGAGCGGCGGGTCTCCCGCACGGGGGCCCGGGGGCCTTCCGCCATGCTGGAGTCGGGCGGGCAGCTGCCAGCTCCTGGCGCTTGGCTCCTGGAAGCTCCATCCTGTCCTTGTAGAGGGCGACCCCCTGGGCCACTTCGGCATCGACCGCGTTGGAGACGAGTGGAAGGTCTTCTCCAGGACGGCGCTGGACCGCGAGCACACGGCCAAGTACCTTCTCAGCGTCACGGCCTCGGACGGCAAGTTCCAGGCCTCCACCCTCGTGGAGGTCTTCGTGCTGGACGTCAACGACAACAGCCCGCAGTGCGCCCAGGTGAGGCCGCGGGGGGAGGAGCCGGGGCCGCAGGGGTCACTCTGGCCAGCAACTTGGCTGCCCGCGGGGTGTCACCACGCTCTCTAGAACCGCGGTCCATGGTTCCCGCCCCGCCGAGTCCACCTCTCAGGCAGCGCAGAAGAGACCTCTCCGGCCTAAGGCTCAGCGCAGGGTCTGGCCGCTCCCCTGGGGGGCACTAGTCACTGTTCAGTGCACCAGAGACCCCTACCCAGCCCATGAGAGCTGGGGGCCGTCTGGCACGGACCCCCCAGGTCATGTGAGCACGACATGGGCTGGGGGACATTCTTGGGGGGCCTCACACAGCCCAGCCCACTCTTCCCCTGGGGGTGCGTGTCCGGGGGACATGTGTCCGGTGGGGTGAGCAGGGCTGTGTCCCTGAGGTGCTTCGCAGCCTCGTGGCTTTGCTTTGGGCCACATACACTTTCTGAACACAGGAAGGCGTTTTTAACTCTTGGGGTTCACGACCTTGGGACAGAGATCTCAGACACACTGAAACTCGGCCTGACTTGACAACGTCTCAAATGAGCACAGCCCAAGTCCACACCAAGCCGGCACGGCCACGTGAGCGCACGCTGACCACACACGCAGGTCTCTGGAAATGCGAGCACACACGTGTGCACACCCAGTGTCACCCGCCCTCACCACGCACCTCACACATGTGCACACGTCACCCTCACACACGTCCACGTGGACACAGTCCACATGCCCATCCACACTGCCGTCCACACTGAGACCACACGAGCAGCCGAGGCGAGGGGGGCTGCCAGGGAGCAAGGGCAGAGCCCACAGCGTCCGGGGGGACACCCTGGGTGTCGTCAGCAGGGCAGCCCTGGGGGGTGAGGGCGGCCACGCCCTCCTCCCCACCCCTCAGCCGCCCACCCTGGCGAGGGACCTCCATCCGGTGGGGGGGCCAGGACCAAGCCTCCTGCCTTCCGGGGGCTGCCAACAGCCCACAAGCACCCCAGGGCCCAGGCGTACCCGCCCCGCCCGGGCCCACAGCCATGGCCAGCAGCGGCGGGACAGCCGGTTCCCAGACGCACCAGCCTCGGCCTGTGCAGGCCCCCGGGAGGTCCCGGCGGGGGGCTTGTGCGGTCCGGGGTCCAGGCCTGAGCAGACAGTGAGGGCTCCCGGGACGCGGCTGGGATGAACCTGCTGGGGCACCAGAAGGGTGAGGGGTCGGCCTGACCACCCCGTCAGGCCCCCCTGTGCCGGGAGCCCAGAACCCCCAGAGAGGCCCTTGGTGCCCTGGGGGGCCGCCCTTTCCCGCCCCCAGTCTTCATGGCCAGCGTCCGCCACCCCAGCGCCCACAGCCCCGTCCCTGCCGCTCGCCGCCCCGCGGTCCCCTGCCCCTCCCTGCCCTCAGCGCCGCGGCCTGTCCCCTGCCAGCTCCTCTACACGGGCAGCATCAGAGAAGACGCCCCCCCGGGACGCTTCATCCTGAAAGTCTCCGCCACGGACGCGGACTCGGACACCAACGCCCAGATCACCTTCTCCCTGCACGGCCCCGGGGCCGACGCCTTCCAGATGGACCCGCACACAGGTGGGCCGCCTGCCCGTCGGCGGGTGATGTGGGGCCAGCCGGGCCTCAGGGCCGGTGCCCGCCGGGGTGCCAGGTGCTAGAGGCGGGCCGGGGCAGCTCAGCCGCGGGGTACTCGCCACGGGAAAGAGGGGGTGCTGCCCTCCCCCGGGGTGCCCGCGCTGGGCGGCCCACCTCTCTGGGCTGCACCAGCACATTGACGGGGGGGGGGGGCTGCACAGAGGGGTGCGGTGATGCCGCATCTGACGCCACGTCGAGGGGGCGGCTCGCACGGGGCCGGTGCCCAGGGAGAGCTCACTGCCGTGCTTCCCTGGCCAGGGGAGCTGACCACACTCATGGCCCTGGACCGCGAGCGGGAGGATGCGTACAGCCTGGTTGCCAAGGCAACGGACGGGGGCGGCCGGTCGTGCCAGGCAGACGTGCACCTGCGGGTGGAGGACGTCAACGACAACCCGCCCCACTTCTTCCCCGGCCACTGCACTGTGGCCGTCTTCCACAACGCCACCGTCAAGACGCCCGTGGCCGTGGTGCTGGCCCGCGACCCTGACCAAGGTGAGCGGGGCCTCGGCACGGGGCGGGCGGCAGGTGGACCCCCACACAGCCGGGAGCTGGTGCCGCGACGGAGGCCCCGGCCACAACTGAGGGGGACTGTCCCGCGCTGCTCTGAGACCCAGCCTCGGCATGTGCGGGGTGGCCAGCGGCCAGCACCCGGGACACGCCAGTGGGCTCCGTCGGCCAGGTCACACAGGAAGGGGCTGGCCCCAGCCCCGCCAAGCCTGTGGCATCCGGGGCCAATTTCCTGTCCAGTGACGGGGTCAAGTTCTCCTTCAATGTGGACGCAGCTGGGAATGCCTGCCACGGGCCGCTGTCCCCCTGCCACGGGGACGGGCTATGTCTGCGTCGGCCCCGCTGCCCCGCAGTCCGCCCGTGCCAGCCGCCCTGCATCCCTGGCTCAGACCTCATGGCTTGGCGGCTGCTGCTGGGGTAGACAGGCCCCCACAAGGCGGCCAGGCTGCTGCAGGCGGCCGGGCCTGCTCCCTGGACACGCAGAAGGCTGAGGGCTCCCTGAGGCTTGACTTCTGGCTTGAGGAGGTGCGGCTTGGGGGAGTAGGTGCTGGGGTGAGGGATCCGTGCTCAGAACCGTCCACTCCCGAGGCAGGCACCCTGCTGCCCAGGCAGCCCTTCCCTGAGACTCCCACCATGGACACTGCCAGGGCCGGCCCTGCCCCTTGGGGGACAGCCACTCGGGGCTGGGGAGCGACTGCTCCAGCCCACACTCCCTTCTCTGGGCAGAGGGCCCAGCTGCCCGGGGTCGTTGCGCCCCAGCTCCTCCTAGGGGAGCCGGTTCACGGGCACCCGAGTCCCCACCCAATGCCCCACATGCCCCCACACAGCTGCCTGTCCTGAGGCCGAAGGGTTTACGGAGTGTGTGCAGTTTACGCAAACTCCCCGAGCGGCGGTCAGCGCCCTGCCTCGGGTGCGTCCCCCATGCGTGTCCCTGGCCGGTGAGCCCGTCTTGGGACGACACTCACGGGAGCCCAGCTCAGGCCTGGCTGGACAGCAGAGCTCAGCTCTGGCTGCAGCCAGTGCCACCAGGGCATCCACTCTCCCTGGGGCTGCTCTCGCGCCCATTACTGACCTGGCGACAGGCGCCAGGAGAGCAACCTGGGCCGGGCCGTGCTGCGCGCTGGGGCCTCTCTGCTGAGTGCTGTAGGGGTGCGGGACCCCACAGCCTGACTCGTGCCCGAGCCGGTCCAGGCCTGGTTCCAGGACCACAGTGCAGATCAGAGCCCTGTGGGTCGCTACCGGGAGTGGGGCAGGTAAAGCCACAGGTAAAGCCTGGACTCCCCCAGGGCACCGCAAGAGGACTGCACGGGTTTGTAGATGTCTTTCCACGAGGCCTCAGCCCTACCCCCGCCCGAGACTCAGCCCCAGTCAGCCCGCGCACACCGCCCTGCCGGCTGCTCTGGGCCTCCTGGGCCCACTGCTGGTCACAGGGCCCGGCCGCGGGGTCACACGCTGTCCCCACAGGCGCCAACGCCCAGGTGGTCTACTCTCTGACGGACTCCGCCGAGGGCCGCTTCTCCATCGAGGCCACCACGGGCGTGATCCGGCTGGAGAAGTCGCTGCAGGCTGGGCCGCAGGCTGCCCTGGAGCTGACCGTGCGGGCCTCTGACCTGGGCACCCCCATCCCACTGTCCACGCTGGGCACGGTGACGGTGTCCGTGGTGGGCCTGGACGACTACCTGCCCGCGTTCCTGAGCCCCGAGCACAGCGTGCAGCTGCCCGAGGACGCCCAGCGCGGCACCGAGGTCCTGCAGCTGTCCACCCTCACCCGCCCGGCCGCCCAGAGGGCCGCCTACCGCCTGGTCAGCGGGAACGAGCAGGGCAGCTTCCGCCTGGACACCCACACAGGTGAGACGGCGCCCGCAGTCCTGCCCTGCACACAGGGACGGGGGAGGGGAGGGGACGGGGGAGGGGGGAGGGTGGCGGGGGAGGGGGAGGGGAAGGGGATGATCACGGACGGAATCGCGAGCCGGGACGGAGGACGTGGGGGCAGGTCCTTCTCCCACAAGCCTGTCCAGGGGTTCCCGCCCTCCGTCGGCCACCTCCGCCCCGGTTCCCTCACTGCCCCCCTCGCCTCTGGCCTCCCAGGGGTCCTGTACGTGAACAGGAGCCTGGACTTCGAGACAAGCCCCACGTACTTCCTGTCCATCGAGTGCAGCCGGAAGGGCGCCTCCGCCCTCAGCGACGTGGCCACGCTCGTGGTCAACATCACGGACGTGAACGAGCACCGGCCGCGGTTCCCCCGGGCCGCGTACAGCGCGCGGGTGCTGGAGAGCGCCGCGGCGGGGGAGCTGGTACTCACGGTGAGGGCGGCGGCGAGCCCCGGGCCACCCCCGGGCCCCGGCCAGCCGCTCCGGGTGTCACCAGCTGCCGCGGCCAACTCCCTCTCGGCAGGGCTGGGCGCGGGCGCCCCAGGGGCAGCTCAGGGCAGGGACAGGAGACCTGTGCGCCCCAACAGGTCGCAGAGCAGGCTGAGGCCGGCCGCCGCGGCCCTCCCTCGCCGCCCGCGGTGGCCCTGCACCCCGAGCCCCGCCCCACAGGCCCCAGCCCGTCCCGCCCCCCAGGCAGCACGGCCACTGTGCCCTGCGCCCGCAGCGAGCGCATCGTAGTGGGCCCCAATTAGACACCCCCATGCCCGGCCCAGGCCCCCGGCCCCGCCTCCATCCCCGCCCACCTGTGGCAGGTGTCCGCGACGGACGAGGACGGGCCCCTGAACAGCGCCATCACCTACAGCCTCGTGGGCGGCAACCAGCTGGGCCACTTCGCCATCCACCCCGAGAAGGGGGAGCTCCGGGTGGCCAGGGCCCTGGACTGGGAGCAGGTGAGCAGCAGGGCTCCCCAGCCCCGAGGCCAGGACCGGCCTCACTTCCCCAGGCCTCGTCTCAGCCCCGCCCTCTCCATGGCCCGTGGGGCCGGAGGCGGGAGGGGCAGGGTGCGGACCTTCCCCGCCGTTCCTCACCACTGCCTGGGAGGCAGCGGCGGCAGCGGCAGGGACAGGTGGGAGGGAGGGCTCTGCTGACCGCTGGGTCCGGCTCTAGATTTCGAGCTACTCCCTGCGGCTCCGAGCCACCGACAGCGGGCAGCCGCCCCTGCACGAGGATGCGGACGTGGCCATCCAGGTGGTGGACGTCAACGACAACCCGCCCAGGTTCTTCCAGCTCAACTACAGCACCTCTGTCCAGGTAGGCGGCCAGCACCTGCCCCGGCCCCTCCCGGAGGGCTCCCCCGCCCTCGGTCCCCCGGCCTGCCCGTGCCCTGGACGGTGTCCCCGCGGCCGTCAGCCTGCCCTGCCGAGGCGGGTGTGCAGGGGGCTTAGCCTCAGGCTGGGGCCTCCCGGCTCGCAGACCACAGTGGAGGCGCAGAACCGGGCCACGGCCAGCAGGTGGCAAGCCTGGCTTTGCCTCCCGAAGTCTCCAGATCCTCAGCTCTTTCTACCCCAGTGGTTTGTAGACAGGGCTTGGAGAGGACCTCGGGCGCTGTGACCAGAGGGGCAGGGAGGTGAGGCTGTGGGCAGGCGGGCAGAGCTGTGCGTCCTGCTCGGCGCTGGCCAGGTCACGCCACCCGCTTTGGTCATTTCCATGTTTTGGCTGCAAGCGGCAGGCCTGACTGAGGGTCCCGTACGCGATGAGGACTTCCTCCCCCGCCTCACGAAAGGCCCGAGTGGGAGACGCCCTCCCAGCACAGCTGTTTGAGCAGGAAGGTGACACCGCGCTCCGGCGGGCGTCCCACCTCGTGGCTGCCTCGCGGCTACAGCGCTCCGGCACCACGCCCCCGTCCAGCCCAGCGCAGAGGCCAGCAAGGGCTCCACTCCTGCACAGCCCACGGGTATCACAGAAGAAGGTTGTGCAGGGCCTTTGCCTGGTGGACTTCCCTGCGGCCGGCACGGGAGCACATGACCGCCCCTCAGCCAACAACTGGCCTGGGACGCAGACCGTCGCGACCGCCGCCCGGGCACAGCCCAGCCCTTCCCGGACAGCGCACGCTTTTCGCAGATGCTGCCGCCCCGGCCCAGCTGGACAAGATCAGTGTTTGTACGAAGGAAGAGAAACGTCTGTTTCCAAAGCCACCAGCTTGTCTGTCCATGAGACTGTGATGCTGAGACCACAGGGGACACCGCCCCCCAGGAGGGCGCCAGGCAGGGCCAGCGGGCGGCCTCACCGCCTGTGGGCGGCCTGACCGCCGTGGGTCTTCTAAGCAGGAGGCCTCCGTGGGTGCTCAGCTGACCCTAGGTGGCCCAGAACTCCCAGGGGGGCCCCAGGTGCTGACTAGTTCACACACGTGAGCCAGCAGCTGTGGACCCATGGCCAGTCACCCGCTGCCGGTGACCCGACCCGAAGGCCGCTCCGGCCCCCATGGGCCTGTGTCTAAGGCCCGGCCCTGCCCTCAGAGGGCTCTGCCGGACAGATAAGGGACAGCTCGCTCAGGGGCACAGTGAATGAGTGAGCGAACGAAGGAACACGCGGACCGCTAACTGGAGGCCGGCAGACGGAGGGGCGGGCAGGCGGGAGGACGGACGGGTGGGGGCAGACGACGGCTGAGGTCCACGGCCTGGCCTGGCAGCGGCGGGTGCGGAGGACTCATTTGGGACGGAGGGTCCCGTCCTGCTCCCTGACGCCCTGTTGGTCTGGCCCCAGGAGAACTCCCCCACCGGCAGCAAAGTCCTGCAGCTGATCCTCAGTGACCCCGACTCCCCAGAGAACGGGCCCCCCTACTCATTCCGAATCACCCAAGGGAATGACGGTGCTGCCTTCCGGGTGACCCCGGACGGCTGGCTGGTGACCGCGGCAGGGCTGAGCAAGGCGGTGCGGGACCGGTATCAACTCCAGATCGAGGTGCGGGGGGCTCGGGCGAGGCAGCCCTGGGAGGGGGGGTGGGGGGCAGGCACCTGGGAAGGCCCCTCGGGACGGAGGAGGCCGCGGTGCAGCTCGCCGGCCCTCACCCCTGCGGCCGCTGCCGGCCTTCCCGGGCCCCGCTGCCGGGCCCAGTGGTCACGCAGAGCCCAACATGCCCACAGGTGTGGGACAGCGGCGCGCCCCCACTCTCGTCCTCCACGGCCGTCAGCGTCCTCGTGGCCGAGCAGAGCCGCTACCCGCCCTCCGCCCTCCCCCTGGAGGTCTTCATCACTGTGGGGCAGGGGGAGTTCCCAGGCGGCCTGGTGGGGAAGATTCACGCCACAGACCGAGACCCCCAGGACACGCTGACCTTCGCCCTCGCGGGCGGGGCCCTGGACGGGCGCTTCTCGGTGGGCGCGGCCGACGGCACCATCCTGGCAGCCCGGGGCCTGCCCTGCGGCCACTACGCCTTCAACGTCTCGGTCAGCGACGGCACCTTCGCGGCCTCCGCGGGTGTCCAGGTGCACGTGTGGCGGGCGGGCGAGGAGGCCCTGCGGCGCGCCCTGTGGCTGGGCTTCGGCCAGCTCGGCCCCGAGGAGCTGGTGAGTGACCACTGGCGGAACCTGCAGCGCTTCCTCGGCCGCCAGCTGGGCGCCCGGCGCGGCCACATCCACCTGGCCAGCCTCCAGCCAGCGGAGGCCGCGGCGGGGGTGGACCTGCTCCTGGTCTTTGAGGGGCGCTCTGGAAACTTCTCGGAGCTGCAGGAGCTGGCGGCCACCCTCGCCCGCTCGGCCCGGGAGCTGGAGCAGGCGGTGGGCATTCAGATGCGCGCGGCCGTGCCCGTGGTGCCCTGCCCGGGGCCCAGCTGCCAGGACCACGCCTGCCGGCACGCGGTGGAACTGGACCCGGCCCCGGGGTCCACCTACAGCACCGCGCGGCTCAGCATCCTGACCCCGAGACACCGCCTGCGCCGGAGCTGCGCCTGCAACGGTGAGGGGCGGGGCCGGCGAGGGGCGGGGCATGGCCGGGGGCGGGGCCAGGCTGGGGCGGGGCAAGAAAGGGCGGGGCCAGAGTGGGGCACAGCCGGGGCGGGGCATAGCTGAGGGCGGGGTCGGGAAGGGGCGGGGCCGGGAAGGGGCGGGGCATAGCTGGGGCGGGGCTGGGAAGGGGCCAGGGCGGGGCACGGCTGGGGCGGGGCCGGGAAGGGGCGGGGCATAGCTGGGGCGGGGCCGGAGGGGCGGGGCCTGGGCGGGGCCTGGCTGGGGCGGGGCCGGCGCCAGGCGGGACACGTGGCTCCCCGCCCCGGCGCCTTCCCGGCCTCCTGGAGGGGACGGGGCTGCTGACCCGCGCCCTCCGCTCTGCCCTCCCCGGCCTTTGTCCCCTCCTCGGTGCCCCCTCCTCGCTGTCCTCTCCCGGGTCCCCAGGGTGCTCCCCGGCCCCCGGGCCCCATACGCCGACTCGGGGGTTCGCAGCCGGACCGATCCCGGAGGGGGGAGGCCCAGCGTCGCGGGAGCCGAGGGGCTCGAGTCTGGGGCCGCCTCTCCCGCGCGGGCCGAGCTCACTCCTGACCCGGGACGGCCGCGGGGCAGCTGGTCCCCGCCCGGCTGCCAGTGGCCAGGCTGGAGGCCCAGCGCCCGGCTCAAGGTGACGCCCGGCTGCCCACAGGCACGGCCGCGAGGTTCAGTGGGCAGAGCTTCGGGCGGTACCGCCTCGCAGGGGCACAGCCCTGGCACGTGCGCTTGCGGCTGAGGACCCTGCAGCCCCGGGCCGTCGTCCTGTCCATCAACGGGACCTCGAGCGTGTCCCTTCAGGTGAGGCCAGCAGCAGGGCCTTGAGGACACCGAGTGCACCGGGCCCCAGGCCCCCCCCGCCGCGGCAAGGCCGTCCAGGCCGGCGGCTCTGCGGACAGGGGAAGGGCCGTGCCGGTCATCAGGCCAGCCGGGGAGGCGGGTCGCAGGCCCAGACCGTGAGCAGCGCAGGGGCACACGGGGCCCGGAGGGTGTGGCACCCAAGACAGCACGGGAGGTGCCCAGGGCAGGGGTCCTGGTCAGCAGCAGCTCTGGCAGGCGTCCTCACCGAGTGGAGGTGATGTGGCCGGATGCCCGTGGGGCAGAGCTGGCCAGCAGGGGCCAGAGGAGGGCCAGTCCTCTCCACGCACGCCTGGACAATGTGGCCGTGCCGCCCCGCAGACACGGGGGGCTCTGGCCTGGCCGCTCAGGCCGCGCTTATGCCTCCGTGCTTTTGCAGCTGCTGGACGGGGCGCTCCGGCTGGAGTACCACTGCCCCGGGGGCGTCCACGCCAACCTGTCCTCCCCGCGTGGCGTGAACGACCAGGAGTGGCACTGGGTGCACATAGAGGAGACTGGCAACGTGACCCGCCTGCGGGTGGACGGGGCAGCCGGCACCACCCTGGTGCTCCCCGATAGCTGCCAGGGCCAGGCGCCCCAGCGAGACCTGCTTCTGGGCGGCCTGGCTCCCCCCGGCGCCCGCCTCCACATCACCCACGGCTTCCAGGGCTGCCTGGATGCTGTGGCCATTAATGGGGAGCCGCTGGAGCTGCTGGCCCCCGAGAGGAGGGCGGGAGGCCTGCTGGAGACCCACACCCTGACCCCCTGCTGCCCACACAGTGGCCTCTGCAGCCAGAACCCCTGTCTCAACGGGGGGCGCTGCACACAGACCCCCGGGGCAGGTAAGGCCCGGCTGCCCTTCCACCAGCCCCCAGGGAGAGGGGGCTCCCCGCCAGAGTGCCTGGTGTTAGCCCAGGGGTGGGGGCAAGTGCTAAACGCCCCTCCCTCTCCTGCTGGGGTGCATGGGTGGAGCCTCCAGGGCACCTCCCCTCCAGAGAGCTGCTCTCCTCGGGGGTGCTGCCCCCGCCCTTCACTTCCTCTCACCCCCACAGGCTACGCATGCTCCTGTCCCCCCCAATTCTCCGGGCAGCACTGCGAGCGGAGGGAGAACTGCTCCTGGGCACCCTGCCCTGAAGGCAGGGCCTGCACCTCCGCCCCCGGGGGCCACCCCTGCACCTGCCCTCACCCCCACACTGGGGACAGGTGAGTACGGTCTCCCCTGGGGAACACAGGGCGGCCTCTGTGGGGGCGTGGAGCCTGGGGCAGGGCCCGCCCTTCGCTGGCTTCGGCTCGGGCAACTGCCCGCCCCACACTCGGGCGGCACCACAGCCACGGGCCCAGGGTCTAAGGGGGCTGGAGACCTCTCTCCTGCCCCGCGCCTGGCCCCAGAGAGGCCCGCACTGGCCTTGTAGGGCGCAGGCTGGGGCTGCCCCGAGGCCCAGGAAGGTGGGACCGGCAGTGACCCCCCTCTGTCCCCAGGTGTGAGATGGAGGCCAGGGGCTGCGCGGAGGGGCTGTGCCTGGTCACCCCGGCCATCAGGAGTGGCGACTGGGGGCTGCAGGAGGCCCTGCTCTTTGCCCTGGTGCCCGCGCTTGCCGTTGGGGCCACCGTGGGGCTGTTGTTGTGCCGTCGCCGCTGCCGCCAGGCCCACAAGCCCGTGGCTGCCGACGACCCAGACCTCCTGGCCAGGAGCGTGGGTGTGGACACCCAGGCTGCACCCGCCGTCGAGCTCAACCCCGTGGGCCCCTGCTTGCGTGGGGGCCTCGGCCAGGCGGAGCCCGGCAAGGCGGCCGGCCCCGGGGAGCTGGTCACCTTCGGGCCCAGCTCCAAGCAGCGGCCGGTGGTCTGCAGTGTCCCACCCCGGCTCCCTCCCGCGGCGCTGCCCGCCCGCGCCGACCACCACACACCTGTCATCAAGAGGACCTGGACAGGCGAGGACACAGGTGAGCCAAGGCCCCAGGCCGAGACACTGCCCGAGGTGGAGTCCTTTGGGGGGGCTCAAGGTGGCCTGAGGCCAGGCGTCGGGGCTTGTCCACCGCCATCCCTGCACATCCAGTCCCCATGGGCAGAGTCCCCTCAAGGCCCCGTGAGTGGCGGAGCACTGCGTCCCCTCCCAGTCCCAGCACAGGGTGGACAGCGCAGGGGGCCAGGGGAGGGGGTAAAGGGGTTTTCCGGGGAGGAAGCAGCAGCCCAGGCCCCAAATCCTGAGGTCAGCCCTATGGAGGACAGGCCAGTGGACTCTGCCCTGCTGCCTTGCCGGCCGGCCCAGCAATCACACAAGCACTTCCCTCCTCTGGCCACCGGTCACTGGCCCAGAAGACCCAGCATGGGCTCTAAGTGGCCCAGCCCCGTGGGCCCAGAGCCACGTCTGTATCCTACAGTCAACAGGCGGCCAGCGGGGACCGGGCAGCCCCAAGGGAGGTGTGGGGTGTCACCTTCCCTGCCGCCACCCTACGTCAGCAGGGCGGGCCCTGGCGGGCGGGGAGCAGCTATCAGGAGTCCGGCTGGGATCTCACCCACCCTCTGTCCCTCCAGGGTTCCCAGGCACAGCCACGGTCTGGCCCCCCACCTACTCCAGGAAGGAACGCTGGGAATACGCCCCCCCTGAAGCGACGCCTCACCGCCACCAGCCCCCCATCCCGATGCCGGAGCCCCCAGGCCTCTACGGGGGCTTCCCCTTCCCCCTGGAGCTGGAAAACAAGCGAGCCCCTCTCCCGCCCCGCTACAGCAACCAGAACCTGGAGGACCTGCTGCCCCCGCGGCCGTCCAGCCCCCGGGAGCACCTGCTGGCCCCGCGGCCCGGCGAGTACACGGCCGTCAGCTACTACCACCCGCGGCCGGGCGCCGGGGGGCCCTGCCTGCTCGAGGGCGGCTACAAGGGGGTGAGCGTGCGCCTCAGCCGGGCTGGGCCCTCCTACGCTGACGGCGAGGCGGGGGGCAGGCTGCCCGCCAGCCGCATGCCCCCAGCGCCCCCCGACTACGAGGGCTCGGACCAGGTGGAGAGCGACTACGGCAGCTGCGAGGAGGTCATGTTCTAGCTGCCCGCGTGGAGGCCACGGGCCTGTCTGGGTGGGCGCCCAGCCCGGCTGCCTGTCTCATCTCGAGTTGCTCTTCCAGGTGGCAGTGGCTGGGGGGGAGCTGAGGGGAGCTTCAGAAGCAGCACGGCCCCCCGGGAGGCCTGGGCCCGGGAGCGCCAGAGCTGTCAGCCTGGGCTGCAGGCGCCACGAGGGCAGGACAAGCCAGGCCAGGGCCCAGCGCGCCCGCGAATGAGGCTCCACTGCAGGTCCACGCGAGCCAGGCCCCTGCGAGGCCACGGGGACGGGCCAGCAGAGCCCTGCCTATGTCCGGGGCACTGCCCGGTCCAGCCCGGCGTGCCGGCGCCTCCGCCCAGGGTTTGCGGACGGCCGTGCTGTGAGGGCGACCGGGCCGCGCTGTCAAGAGCCCAGGCCTCAGGCGGCCTCCCACGTTTCCCTAGCACTTTGGGCCAAAGGCCAGATTTTAGAAACTCACAGGCTCTGTCAGCCGGGCTGCTGGGATGAGCTGACCCAAAGGGGCCCCCGAGACAGGCGCTCAGAACGGCGGTCAGGGGACCGACGAGCCGGACCGAAGCCCGCAGGCTCGGCCCCCGGCGTGACCGGCCCTGGTGTGACCAGCCCAGCAGGCGGGCACAGGGAGACACTGAGCGCGGGGCATGTAGCAGGGCGCAGCCGCCGAGCACCGGCGGTCACGCCCCCCGGTCCACTGCCTTTTCACGTGCTGCTTCTGGAGCCGAAAGTCGAGAGCGGCGGGCGCCTGCGGGGCCTGCCGGCCGGGCTGTGCACGAGAGGGCGCGCTGGCCACACGTGCCCGCGGCTGTAGTTGACGGCACTTTTTTTTTAACAATAAAGTATCTTTTTTACTGTCCTCTCCTGGGTCCCTGAGCCTGCTCAGCTGGGCATGGGGGGACAGGGGCTCCATGGGCCCGCGGGGGCGGGTGCACGTGTGGGGGTTGGAGGGGCCCCGAGTCCCAAGCCTGCGAACAGCTCACAGACGGGGGCAGAGCCTCCCGCGCCCCGAGCCGGCCGTCCTGCCAGGCCCTCCGCGTGAGGACCGGCCGCCGCTGACTGGTCTGCTGGCCAGCAGGCAGGCAAAGCTCCCCAGGAGGGAGGCAGAGGGGAAGGGGGCCACGCAGCCACGGGGCCCAGGTCCCCCACGAGGGCAGCCTCCCTCCTGGGTGGGCACTGTCCCGAGGGCACAGCGGATGGTCCGGCCTGGGGAGGACGGGTGGAGCCAGCTGCGGGGAGGATGGGGGGACGGGCTGGCCCCGGTCACGGCCTGGCGACGCCCAGACTCCTGAAGTCCCCAGGCGGGCGGGGGCCCAGGCCTGGACAGCGCCTCCCAGGGAAGACAGTAAGTCCGGCCGCCCTGCCCGCCCGGCGCAGGCCGCAGCACCTGGGAGAGCAGAGACTCAGACCCGTTGGGCAAGACAGGCCTTCGGCGTCCCTCACACCTCCAGGTCCCCAAAATAAACCCCTTGGTGGCGACTCGGTCTGGGCCAGGGGACCACAAGGCACGGGGTGACCAGCCTGGAGCCTCGGAGCTGTCCAGGCCTCCACAGCGCCCACTCTGCACAGGGACCAAGCGGCCCTCTCCGCGCACGCAGGGGTGAGAGGCCGGGGAGGGATGGTTCCAGGAAGAGCAGCGCCCCCGGTCAGCCTCAAAGCCGAGCCGGACCTCCCATGGGGACCCAGGGCGGCCGCAGCCAGAGGCAGCCTGGGGGGCAAGAGCTGGGCGCGGTGGGGGGCCTGCGGGCTGGGGTCCCGTTGGAGAAATCGGCCTTTCTCCCGCAGAGGAAGGACAAGCGGCACTTTGGGGACGTGAGTCACGGAATCTTCAATAGCGCGCGAGGGCCCAGTCTGCCGCTTCGTTCATGCACAAAGTCTGGGCCCTGACCAAAGACGAGGGCTCCCTGTCTGCAGAACCGTGTCAACATGTTCCACAGACGGTGCATTGTTCACAGCAGGCGGGACCTCGGGCGTCTGAGGGGGTGGGGGATGCAGCCATCCGAGGGTGCCCCGGAGACAGCCCTGGACCTCACCTGACTCTCTGGAAATAACTGTCCAGACAAGGGGCCAGGACAAGGCCCCGAATCTCCCAAGGAAAGACCTGCAAGGAGCAAGCTTGCAGTTACCCTGCTCTGGGACGTTCACTGCACCGGGGCTGGAAGGACCCTCGGGTGGGGTCTTGACTGTATCCACTTGCTCAATAATGTGTTTTTCCTCATTATTCCCCCTTTTGGTGCCCTTGTGAGTTATTTTCCCCATAAGGCATCACCTAATGTTTTAAGGCAAACATTATTCCCACCTGGTGGCCGTTATGGGGTGAAGCACGCACGGGACGAGGAACCCCACTTGGTTGGCTGCTGCAGGGCCTCCTCCCTGCTGTCGGCTTGATCCCGGGGCCGGGTGGGTGTTTTCTGAACCCCCCACCCCGCAAGCTTGCTGGCATAGAAGCAACATCGTTCTCGCAAATCAGACGCATCCCCGGGCAGCGGTGAGCAGGTCTGGTCTGTGGGGTGGGGGCACGGGCTGGTGCTGGGGCCCGGGGCTGAGAGTGTCAAGATTTGACGTAAGTCGGCCACCTGCCCTTTGTAACGGGTCTGCGGCTCCTAGCTCAGGCGCCCCGCACGCGGCCAGCAGAGCAGCTACGGGTGGGATGGTCGGGGGACTGTCTTTTCGGTGTGGGGGTGTGTTAACACTGAAAGTCCCGCTCTCCCAGTTAAAACAGACAGGTTAGGCGCCAGATTAACACCACAGCACGGCTGTTTGTGTGGAGTAATACACGCCCTGAGCAAGGCCAGGGAGGCGCCGTCCGTGGCACAGATCTTCAAGGTACGCGTCAAAGGGCCTGTGGCATTTCCCCCAGAGCCGCAGGACCCAGGATAAGAGTCGAGAGGAGTCAGGTTCCCTTCGGAGGAACACGCCTGGGCTGAGCATGGCTCCCTCATGCTGGACAGGCCCCGGCTCTCTGCAGATGCAGCAGTCTGCAGCGAGAGCCGGCTGGGAGGCGCGTGCGGCTCTGGTTACGTCTAAGCTGGGGCACAGGCGTCAGTGGGGAGAGAGCAGGAGCCCAGGGCGGTGGGAGGCCAGAGGGCTCCCTTGTTCTTTGTGGCCCTTCTGTCAGGCCGGGCACAAAAGCTGGCGTAGCTGCAGATACTCGGGGTTTGGGAGGGAGTCCTCACATGCAGAGGGGTGAGGAGCAGGTGGGGCGGACCCTGGCCAGCGGGCTCATTTCACAAGGCACTCGAAGCAGGCATGTTCCGGCACAGCGCCAGGGAGCCCGCAGCAAGTAGCCGTGCCTCCCGCCCCAGGGCCAGGGGCCACCGCTAGGCCGCCTGCAGAGCCGGTCACTACGGAGCAGTAAGGACAACAAACAAGAGGCCACACGTGTAGAAGGTCCTCAAGCTTCCGCCGTGCGTAGACCGACCAGCTTCCCAAGTGTGGCCGGAGCAGGGCTTGACGTCCGAGTCCGGCTTGCTGGGTTGACCTTTCTGGAGTCTCGGGCGGAGCGGAGTCTGGCTCAGGGGCTGCTGTCCCTCCGCTGGCTGGCGTGTCCCTTCTTCTGGAGCGCGGGCCCGTTTCACTCCAGAGCGATGCACCCCGTGGGGGGATCCTGAGCGCTTTACAGCAGCAGGAGCAGTCACAGTGACAGCTGGGCCAACCGTGCGGGTCTGGAGGCTGTAAACGACCATCCTGCCAGAAGGACGGACGATGGATCCCCGGTCCTGAACGCATGCCCGACAGCGGGCGCCTGGGTGTGGTGACGCTGTTCTGTTCAGTTGTGTTGCTGACTCTTGAGGGTCACGGCTGCAGTGTTTATATTCGCCAGGGGAAACTGGTAGGGCGCGCGAGAGCCCAGGAAAGAGTGAAGATTCGCCGGGGCTGGGAGGCCCCCGATTCGCTGAGGGCTGCCGGGCTCCTGGCCCCGGGCCCGCCTGCTTGTGCGTGCCTGGTTGCCGCACGACAAGTAAAAGCTCATTAAAAGCCCGAAAAGCCAGCGAGGGCTCCAGGTCTCTCCTTCACCCGTCTGCTCGGGTCACAGAACCAGCGCTGCGCCTTCCTGGCGCTACAATTGGGGTAAGTCGGCAGGATGATCTGATGCAGATGGGTGTGGAACCTCCGAAGACCTCAGAGGGGGGCCTGAGGAGCAGCAGCCTGTGAGCCTGTGGCACGCTGGAGGCACCAGGGCAGCACAGGGGGTGACCAGAGTCCAGGAGCTGCGGGAAGAGCCAGAGGCGCCGCAGGAGGTGGACAAGGTCTGGGAACTGCGGGGCGAGACCGTGCATGGAGGAGACGCCCGCGAGGACCAGCCCAGGACCCGAGGTGGCAGAACCGCAGAAGACGACCATGACATGGAGCTCGCCGGTGCCGACTCAGGGAAAAGCAATGGACTTGGACTGACCACCCCGCCAGGAGGAGGAACTCTGGCAGGTTGATGCTATGTTTTGGGGACCCTGGGGTGGATGGGATCGTTTGTAAACCAATGAAAATCATGGCAGCCCTCCTGGCACCCGCGTCACTTTGTCCACCTGTAGTGTAGAGCCAGCTTAGCATCGCTGTTGACCTTAAGCTTTTAATTTTGGGCCCTCGCTCATAACTGTGAGCCTCTTCCCGGATGCTGCAATGGGCACTGCCCGGCAATCCCAGGGCCACGGCCCAGAGAGGCATGGCCAGAGCAGAGGAAGGGGCAGCATGAGCCCAGCGCCAGGGAGCCCGGAGTGAAGGCCTGCCAGCCCCCCGGCCCCCACCTGCCGGCACCTGGTAAAACCCTGATAAAAGCCTGAAAAATCACCGAGGGCCCCAGGACTCCCCTGACCCGTCTGCCCGGGCCGGAGAACCAGCTCTGTGCCTTCCTGGCACCGCCCCTCCTTCTACCTGGGCGAGGCGGGCGTCATCGCCCTCGGCACCAGCAGGCCTGAGTCCGCTCAGCCGGGCGCTGGCACCGTCTGTCTTTCTGCCCCTCAAGGGGCTCCTTTTCCTCACGTGTCTCACGGGCCCGGTCTCGGGCGCAGATCACGCGTGTGACTATGCCCAGCGAGGCGCGGGCGGGCGGCCGACGCAGACCTGCTCTGGCCGAGCGTCCC